TTCAATTTTATTTAATTTAATTATTGAATTTTTATATCTTATTTTGAATTTATATTAATTAATTCTATCTTATATTTCATTTTATTAAGCAATTAAAATTTTTAATAACTTTAAATCTCAAAGTTATGAATCAATAAAGATGTCTAAAATAAATGGTTTTTAAAATATTTAACTTCTACTAATTCTGAAACTATAACCAAATTTGAATGAAAATAAGTAGATTTCCTTATGGATTAAAATCTATTTGCATTTAATAATTAATTTAAAGTTAAAGAAAAATTACAAATTTTTAAATTTTTGTTTAGATACTTAAAAAATAAAAAATAATTTAGATTTATTTTGGGGAGGAAATATCAATTTCTTAATTCATATATCGATGTTTGATATTATTTGAATTATTTATTTTAAAAATAAATTAAAATGAAATTTTTTATCTATTTAAAATTATTCAATTATAAAATGTATACTAGAAATCAAGATCTAAGTGATGAACTAACCTTTTTGCTATACATTCCTAGATTTTAGACAGATTACTGTAACCTTCAAAATCGTACTTATCTAATCTGACTTCATTTTGTTTGCTTGTGTAGTTAAATTTAAGAAAAGATTGTCTGAATTTTGAAATCATCAAATTAGACTCAGTAAAATCCAATTTGTCCTTTACCGCATAAATGAACTAATTTTCTAATTTTAGTCTTAATTCATTTAATTGTTTAGTTAGTCCAAAAGAATCGATTCTATTCTAAGGCGTTTTTTCAAGCATTTTAATTATAATTTAGTTAATATCTTAATATAGAGCGTTTTTGCTTATATAGTTAGGTAGTTTTCCATTTCTGATAAAAGCACAATCTCCATCTTCAAGAAACTTTCCAAGGGTTAATTCAAGGAGAATAATTCCTAAGCCATAAATATCATACTTTAAATAAAAATTCAATTAAAAATAAGTAAATAAATTATATAATCCTTTAATAAATTTACTTTGATATTGAAGAAACTATTATCTTCTGTTATTTCAGGAGCTGCATACTTTCTTGTAAATCCTTTGAGCTTTTAAATATTAAGAATGTAAAATTCAAATAAATTTAAAGAAATAGCTTCAAATATATAGAGAGCAAAAATAATTTTTTATATTTTAGAAAAATGGAAAACCTTTGATAAATTTGAATAAATTAAATGCTTTAAAATCAAGTGTAGAAATTCTAAAAATAAATAGTGCTGAAACTAATTTGAGTAGCAATTAAATTTGAAAAATAAATAAATAAATTAATTAATTACATTATAAGTTTTTGATACATCTTTAAACGATTTAGACTCTCCGTAATCACCTTGAATATTAAAAATAAGAATTTTAGTAATAATAAACTTATAAATAGTATAAAATTCAACTCAATAAGATTAAAAGCAAATTCTATTTATTTGAAATATTTATTTATTAAGAAATATATATATTTAAAAACTCAAACTATTATCTTGTATATTAATCATTAAACCTCTAACATGCATTTATAAAAAGAATGAATATTTTATAAATAAGTGTAAAATTATTATAAATTCTAATAATTTTTTACTATTCTTTAAAATATTTTATTTATTCAAAAGAATAAAGTAATTTTTTTTAAAAAAAATGTGAATTAAAAAAAACTAAGAAAAACTTTTCTTATGCTTCATTAATTTTAATCAATTAAAAACAAAAATTTTTTAAATGGAAAATAAATTAAAATAATTAAAATTGTAAACATATTTTTTGTTTAATTTAAAGTTATTTTTATTAAAGGTTTAAATTTTAATACTTAAATATTTAGAATATAATTAACTCTTTTATATTCTTTATATATCTATCTATTGTAATCAAATTTTTAGAAGTGAGAAGATTAAATTAACTTACAATATATTTTGCTTGTTTGTTTCAAAATTTTCTTAATCCAAAAATTTAAAAATAAAATAAAATTTAAAAAATTTACATAGATTAAAACATTTTTCTTAGCTATCATATAGGATATTCTCTGGTTTAATGTCAGAGTGAATCAGATTATTTTACTAAATTTTTTCAAAGACTGTTGACATCTAAATAGCAAAACCAACTATTTAGTTAAGTGGTAGTATTTTTTTTTCAGCAAAGAAGCTTTACATTATGTCTTTAAGATTACCTAAAAATTTGAATATTTTTAAAAACTAAAAAGAAAAAAATATGAGTTTTTACATGAATATTTTTTAGAAATCTGATAGTATTTAGTTTTTTTTTCATTTAAAAACTCTTCGATAGATTTAAAGACATAAGGAGTATCCTTTAACAGTTTCATTATTTTTTCTTCTTCTTTGATTTTTTCAAATTTAGGATTGCTACATTTGACAGCAACTATTTCTTCATTGTACTTAGCCTCAAACACACATCCATTACCGCCTTGTGAGATGTAGGATGTTAAGTATATCTTCTTCTTTTGAAGCTCATTGTAAATCGATGTTAGTTCATCTGTATCAAATATCATATTCTCTTTATGTTTCTTTTAGTAGTCCTCAAAAATTTTTAAAAATTTTTCTTCAGGTGCTTAATATTTAAGCTCAACGTCTTGCTATTATTGCATGATTAGTAACAATTGCTAATATATAAAAGAATTATAATGCTTAACGAATAAGAATAAAAAATTTTTTTTTTAATTTAAATAATATATTTTATTTTATAACTAAATCTTTTTTATTTACCTTTTTTATTCCTTTCAATTAATTTCTTTGTTTTTTTCTTAATTAAATTATAAAAATTTGTTAATTAAAAAAGTATAAAAATTATTAGCTAATTTAATTAAAGTGATTTTCCCCAAAAACTTCTAAATCAAATTTATTTTTCTTACATAATAATTTAAATGTTAATTAATTTATATCAAGCAAATTCACTTTATCATAAAATAATATTTATTTATTTTAGATTTGATTTATTTATAAAAGCTAAACAAATAAGAAAACAATAATTTTTAAAATTTGCCAGATATAAATCTAGTTTTTAGAAATTAAAAGATTAATCATCTTTATTAAAAATATATTATAGGCAAATATTAATTTTAATATATTTTATCAAAATATTTCCCTTTAAACCAATAAATTATCTTCTCATAAATGAAATAAAAAAGCATAATTAACTTAATTTTTATTTTACCTTTAATTCAATTTTTTTGTTTTTTGTTTTTTTCATAATAATCTGTTATTAAATATATTTTCAAATTATTTTTTTTGACCTTAACTTTTCGAGTTGCAAGAAATTTAAAAAAATTCTAGCATAGATAGAAATATATAAAGGAAGGTAATAAACAAATTTAAACACTTTCTAAGAGTCTTTGCTGCTTTAATATGAAAAAAAAGAAAATTAATTAGTAAAGCAAATGTATTGTTAATACTGTCTAATGTATTCTGAATTATAAGAAAAATAAAACACTAAGTTTAATATAGCAATTCCAGTATTAATTCTTATAGAAGCAGAGAATTAAGGATTTGCTATAAATAAAGTAAGTAGATTAATTAATTTAATAATTTTATTTTAAATATTTGTTTTATAATTAATTTTTTAGTATAAAAATGTATTTATTTTTAGAAATTAAATTTTTAATTATAATAGATTTTTATTTTTTTATATTATAAAAATGCTTAATTATTTTAAAAGAAAATATTAATTAATTAAAAGATTTTTAAAAAAAGCTAAAATTAATTAAAAATTAAATAGAAAAATCATAAATAAAGATTGATATAAATTAAAATTTTAAATATTATGAATGAAATTCTATTATAAAATTATTTATTTTTATATAAATAATCTTTAAATGCCATTCAAAAAAATAGTGATCTCAATTTACTAAATTTTTGAATGGCATTTAACTTTCAATTAATAAAATATGATATTTATAAATATAAAATAATGAATGATAAACCTAAATTTATTTTTGGTAAAATGACTAGATTACAAAATATTAAAAAATAAAACATTTTATATTATAATATTCAAATAGATTTATATATATTCGTATTTTTTTCACCAAAGGAGAATTGAAAAGACAACTAGTCTTTTAAATTTGAGGTACTTTGTTATCAATTATTATGGTTTCTTGATTTTATTATTACTTTTAATCCAACTAATAAAAATAAAAAGAATTAAATATTTAAATAAAATATTAATTATATTTTAAATAAAAATGTTAGCATAAAATCAAAATAAAATAAAATGCCAATAAAAAAAAGAGTGAGTCAGTTAGCTATATTATTTTAAAATCCTTTTTATATTCAAAAATAAATATCACATTCCCAAATAAATAAACTTTTCTTACTCAAGATAAAGTGTTAAATTTGAGAAATAATTAGTCTTTTTCCCTAAACTAAAGCCAAAGACATATTTGTTATCTATTTAACTTATCCTTTTTATTATTGAAGAAAAAATATTTAGAAAATTAGTTAGTAAATGAAGAAAAAATATGAAAAAATAAGAAATATATTAATTAATTAATCATAGCAAAAGTTGAAAATTAAAAAGTTAGCTTGATTTAAGTAGAATAAAAAAGAAAATAAAATAAATAAACCTAATAAATAAATTAAGAGATTGCTAAATTGTTTTAATTGATTTTTATATTCAAAAATCTCATAATCCAAAATAGACAAACTCTTTTTACGTAAGATTAAGTGTCAAATATGAGAGATTAGTGCACTTTCCTAAACCAAATTTAATTATAATAGATATTATTCACCTATTTAATTATCCCTTTTTAAATATTGAAGTATAAATAATTAGTTAGTTAGTTAGTTAGAATGAAAAAATGAAGAAAAAATAAATATGAAATAATAAGAAATAAATTAAAAATTAAAGCAAAAGTTAAAATGAAAAAATGAGCTATGTTATCAAAAAATAATGAAATAAAAATAAAAAAACACTGAGCATAATAAAATAAAGCAAAATAAATGAAATAAAAAGCTAATATTAAGAATACATTTTTTTGTTTAAAACTATTTATTTTTTATATTAAATATCACAATCCAAAATAATTAAGCTATTTTTACTAAAGTTAAAGTTTAAAATTTGAGAGATTAGTGCACTTTCCTAAACCACAGCATAAATCAAATGCACCAATTGCACCGATTTAACACTACCTTATTAAATATTGAACAAAAAATAAATAGTTAAATAGTTAGTTAGAATGAATATATGAAGAAAAAATATGAAACATAAGAAAGAAATTAACTAATTAATAATTAAAACAAAAATTTAAAATGAAAAAATGAGTTAATTTAACAAAAAAAGAAAGAAATAAATAAATAAATTCTGTCAGAACAAAAAATAAGAAATATAAAGCTAATAAATAAATTAAAAGAGTTATTTATATTGTTTTCAATTTGTTTTTACATTTAAAATTATCACAATCCAAAAACACATAATTTTACTCAAAAAAAAGTGTCAAATTTGAGAGATTAGTGCACTTTCCTAAACCAAAACCTAAATCTGATGCACCAAATGAGCCTATTTAATTGTACCTATTTAAATAAAGAAGAAAACATATATTGATAATTAGTTAGTTACAAGGAAAAAATGAAAAAAAAATGAAGTGATAAGAAATTAATTTATTATACAATTATTTTATTAAAAGTTGAAAATGAATATATTAATTAAATAAAAAAAATAAACAAAGAAAGAAAGAAAGGAAAAAAGAAAAAAGCAGAATAGAATAAAAATAAAAAGGAAAAATTAACACATAAAAGGCTAATAAATAAATTAAAAGAATCAGTTGGATTGATTTCAATTGATTATATTATTTTAAAAAAATTATATTGTAAAACAAATAAACTGTTTTTACTAAAGACAAAGAGTCAAATTAGAGAGATTAATGCACTTTCCTATACCAGAACCTAAGCCTGATCCACCTATTACGCCAATTGAATTATTTCTTTTTAAATATTAAAGAAAAAAAATATAATTAGTTAGCTATAAGTTAGAATAAAAAATGTAGAAAAAATATGAAATGGTAAGAAATGTATATATTAATAATAAAAGAAAAGTTGAAAATTAAAAATTAATTAAGTTAACAAACAAATAATCAAATAAAAAAAAAACACACAATCTGAATAAAAATAAATCAATTAAATAAAAGCTAATAAATAAATAAATTAAATGAGTAAATTATTTATATTGTTTTAATTTCATTTTTATATTAAAAATTATCTCAATAAAAATTTTTACGAAAAATTTAGTGTCAAATTTGAGAGATTAGTGAACTTTCCTATGATAGAACCTAAGTGTAATGCACCTTCGTCCCTAATTTAATTATCTCTTTTTAAATATTGAAGAAAAGGATATAGTTAATTAGTTAATTAGAAGGAAAAAATTAAGAAAAAATATAAATAAGAAATTAATTAATTAATAATAAAAGCAAAAATTTAAAATGAAAAAATTAATTAAATAACAAAAAAAATAAAAAAAAACAGAAGTAGAATTAAAAAATAATTAATTAATTAATAAATAAATAAAAATAAAAGTTAATAAATAAATTAAAAGAGTTAGTAATATTTTTTCAATTCATTTTTATATTCAAAAATATCACAATCCAAAATAAATAAACTATTCTTACCAAAGATTAAGTATCAAACTTTAGAGATTAGTGCATTTTTCTAAACCAGAACCTAAGCCAGATGCTCCAATTGCGTCAATTTAATTCCATCTTTTTAAATATTGAAGAAAATAATATAGTTAATTAGTTAGTTAGTATAAATTACAAGAAATAAAATTAAATAAATAATTAATAAAAGAAAAAGTTGAAAATGAAAAAGTGAGTTAGTCATATTTAACAAAGAAGTAAGTAAAAAAATAAATAAAAGATAACAGAATAAAAAAAGAAAAATATAAAATGTAAAAAGCTAATAAATAAATAAATTAAAATTATAAGTTATTCTTATTTTTTTCAATTGATTTTTATATTTAAAATTATCACAATCCAAAACAAATAAACTCTTTTTAATAAAGATTAAGTGTCAAATTTTAAAGATTAGCGCACTTTCCTATACCAGAACCTAAGTCTGATGCTCCAATTGCACCAATTTTATTATTTCTTCAATATTAAGAAAAAATATATAATTAATAAGTTAGTTAGTTAGATGGAAAAAATAAAGAAAAAATATGAAAAAATAAGTAATAAATGAAAAAATGAGTTAAATTAACAACCAGAATTTAAAAAAAAAGCAGAATAAAAAAATAATAAAAATAAATTAAATGAGTTAATTATATTGTTTTCAATTCATTTTATTTTCGAAAGTCTCACATTTCAAATAAACTCTTTTTACTTAAGATCAATTGTCAAATTTGAGAGATTATTGCAATTTCCTATACCAGAACCTAAGCATGTTGCATCTTCTATACCAATTTTATTATAACTTTTTAAATATTGAAGAAAAATTCAAAATTTAATTAGTTAGTCCGAAGGAAAAATGAAGAAAAAATATCAAATGATAAGAAATAAATAAATAAATTAATTAATAATAAAAAATAGTTGAAAATGAAAAAATGAGTTAAATTAATTGCAAAATAGAAATAAGAAAAATAAACCAAATAAATAGCTAATAAATAAATAAATAAGTCAATTCACTTTTACATTCAAAACTATCACAATCCATAACAAATAAACTGTTTTTACCTTAGATTGAGTGTTAAATTTGAGAGATTAGTGCACTTTCCTAAACTAGAACCTAATTCTATTGCATCAATTAAACCAATTTAATTAATTTAATTTTACCTTTTTAAAAATTGAAAAAAAATATATTATCAAATTTCCACTTTTTAAAAAGAGAAGAAAAAATATAAAGTTAATTAGTTAGTTAGAGGTTAGTTATAAAATGAAGAAAAAAATCAAAATAAAAAATAAATAATCATCTTAAAAATTGGTTGGTTGAAATTTTAATCAAAATAAATAAAAATGAAGATGAGAATTTCTAATGAAAAGGTAAAATTTTTAATTACAAATAAAATTCAAATATAAAAATTAAAAGAATAAGTTGTATTGTTTTAAATTCATTTTTATATTCAAAATCATAACAACTAAAAAAAAATAAACTGTTTTTACTAAACGAAAACGGCCTAATTTTAAAGATTACTGTGACTTAAACTTAAATTTGAGACTGAATCACTTTCACTACCAATTAATTACCCACTTTTTAAATATTAAAGAAAAAATATACTGTAAACATTCTATTTTAAGGAGAAAAAAAATAATAATTTATTTTCTTGAATAACTCTCTCCGGATAAAAAATTTTTAAAAAGATTTTTTTTTGATAATCCTTATTCATGCGTACCCACGGTACTTCAAAAAGAAAAATAATATTGATAATAACTTGAAAATTAAATATAAAAAGCTTTTAATAATAATATTAATAAATAAAATATACTTCAGATCAATATGGAGAACCTAATGAGATTAAAGTGAGGAGTATAAAAACTTGTTTTAATAAAAATAATAAATTGAAACATTATTTATAAAAAAATAAATATTTATTTACTTTTACTAAATTTTTTAAATATTTTTTCTCTTCTATCATTTTTTTTTATCTTCAAAATTATTGAATAGAAATTTATGGAAATTTAATTAATTATTAGTTTATTAATAAATTAAAGTACTTTTATATATGATTAATTTGGAAAAATTAATCAAACAAATTATAATAATTATCAAATATTAATTTATAAATTTGCTTAAATGAAGAGATATTACAAAAAGATAGTTAGTGTAAAATTAACTAATTATTAAATCTTAATATTTCTATTTGAAAACAAACACTTAAAATATACCAAGAATAAAACATAAGTATTCATATACGTTGATAAATTCTTTTAGTTTTTAAATTTTAATAAAATAATTTAAATTTATTAGATTTAATCTCTAAATAATAAAATAGATTAAAATATATTTAAGAGATTATAATATTTATAACATTTCTAATTACTCTCAAATTCATTCTATTTTTTTTGCAAGACCCAATAAGCGCTTTTTACAAATTTAAATATATATTAACATTTTTAATTAATTAAGATAATTTAGTTAAATAATTAAAAAACTTTCTATTTAAAATTAAAAAGGATATTTATTTACTAACATAAAAAATTTAATAAATCAAAAAATTTTAATATAGCTGTTTCAAATAATTTTTATATTACTAATGAATTTTTTTTTTTCTAAATCTTAATTTAAAATTTTTTTTATTTCTTTTAATTTTTTTTTAATTAAATAATATATATTATTCTACTTAATGTATATTTCTTACTCAATAAATAATTATCTAATTTAAAAAAATTTAGTCACAACAATCCTTATAGTTTTGATAATTATTATAATTATTAAAATAGAAAAATTATATATTAATCAATATCTTTTTTAAAGTCTATGTTTGTTTAAAATTAAAATAATAGAGTTGAAATGGTTTAAAATTTTACTATTAAAATATTTTAACCAATAAATTTAATTTAAATGAAAAAACATTTTTATCAATTTTAATAAATATGTATATATGCATTATAATAATAATTTCATTTGTTCTTTAACTATCAGTTTTATAAGATTAATTACATTTAGAACATGAATTTCATAAATAAAAAATATTTATAAATGGATACTTAAAAATTGTGATTAGCTTCATTTATTTATCAATATTTATTTACAAATAAATATATTATTAATTACTAATTTTTTGTATTTTTTTTCAATTGTCCATTTTAATTTTGAATTTGTGTTTGAAATCATCAAATCTATAAAATATAAAAATAAACAATAATTAAACTAAAATAGAAAAATTAAAATAATTAATTAATTAATAAGTGATGAATAATTTTGCAAAATCATATTGAAAAGTGCTTATTTATTTTTGATGCAATTAATTGGAATAATTGTTTCAATTCGTAAACAAATAAATTTAGATGCACAAAAAAAATTAAACAAAAAATCAAAAAACAATTTATGAGCTGTGAATCAATCAATCAATTAATTCTCCAAACCCATTTGTTTTAAGTTTCAATTTCACAAATGTATTAATTAAAACAAACTAAATAAATTGATAGTTAGTTAAATTACCATAGATTGAGATTCAAAGATGTTATATTTTGGCACTTCTCCAAGCTCATTCCAATGTTCTTAGCTCCATCTGCACCAAGCTCATTACACCTATGAAAATAATAAATAATGAATGTGTTGAAAATAATGAAAATAAAATAGAAAAGTAATTAATAAATGGGTTAATAATGAATGATTTTGCTAAACATATTGAAAAGTGCTTATTTATTTTTGATGCAATTAATTGGAATAATTGTTTCAATTCGTAAACAAATAAATTTAGATGCACAAAAAAAATTAAACAAAAAAATCAAAAAACAATTTATGAGCTGTGAATCAATCAATCAATTAATTCTCCAAACCCATTTGTTTTAAGTTTCAATTTCACAAATGTATTAATTAAAACAAACTAAATAAATTGATAGTTAGTTAAATTACCATAGATTGAGATTCAAAGATGTTATATTTTGGCACTTCTCCAAGCTCATTCCAATGTTCTTAGCTCCATCTGCACCAAGGTTATTACACCTATGAAAATAATAAATAATGAATGTGTTGAAAATAATGAAAATAAAATAGAAAAGTAATTAATAAATGGGTTAATAATGAATGATTTTGCTAAACATATTGAAAAGTGCTTATTTATTTTTGATGCAATTAATTGGAATAATTGTTTCAATTCGTAAACAAATAAATTTAGATGCACAAAAAAAATTAAACAAAAAAATCAAAAAACAATTTATGAGCTGTGAATCAATCAATCAATTAATTCTCCAAACCCATTTGTTTTAAGTTTCAATTTCACAAATGTATTAATTAAAACAAACTAAATAAATTGATAGTTAGTTAAATTACCTTAGATCAAGATTCAAAGATGTTATATTTTGGCACTTCTCCAAGCTCATTCCAATGTTCTTAGCTCCATCTGCACCAAGGTTATTCCAACTATGAAAATAATAAATAATGAATGTGTTGAAAATAATGAAAATAAAATAGAAAAGTAATTAATAAATGGGTTAATAATGAATGATTTGCTAAACA